TTAAAATATCAATAACAAATTATTAAATGTGCTCCTAGGCACTTAGAATGCTGTTTTTATTTCTTGGCCATCTGGTTCCTTTACTACGCTACAAACACTTATGAAGGCAAGATGTATTCATTCATTTTCATACTGCTGATTAAGATATGATATGACTGATACTGTGCAATTTAAAAAAGAGTTTTGTTTTGTTTTGTTTTGTTTCTGATGGAGTCTCACTCTGTTGCCCAGGATGGAGTGCAGTGGCTCAATCTCGGCTCACTGCAACATCCATCTCCTGGGTTCAAGTGATTCTCCTGCCTCAGCCTTCCAAGTAGTTGGGATTGCAGTCATGCCCCACCATGCATGCCTGGCTAAGTTTTGCATTTTTAGTAGAGATAGGGTTTCACCATGTGGGCTAGTCTGATCTCAACCTCCTGACCTCAGGTGATCCATCCACCTTAGCCTCTCAAAATACTGGGATTACAGGTGTGATGGCTGTAACGGACTCGAGGTTCCATGTAGGCAAGAGGTGTAATGGACTCACAGTTCCATGGCTGGGGAGGTCTTGCAATCATGGCAGAATGTGAAAGGCACATCTCACATGGCAGCAGACACAAGAAGAGAATTTGAATCAAGCAAAAGGAGGTTCCCCTTATAAAACTATCAGATCTTGTGAGATTTTTTTTCACTACCACAGAAACAAAATGGGGAAACCACAGCAGGATTCAACTGTCTTCCACTGGGCCCCTCCTAAAATATGAAGGAATTATGGGAGCTACATTTCAAGATGAGATTTTGGTGGGGACACAGCCAAATCATAACACAAGGTCTGTATTTTGGCCACTTCTATATTTAGCACTTATCTACTTTTAACATTTTTAAATCTATTTTTAATAGACAAGTAAAAATTATACATATATAGCATCTAGCATACCAAATGAATATTTGAATAATACTACAGTCTTGTTCAATTTTATTTTGGTCAGATTATTTTAAATAAAAAGTTTAAAATTTAAAACAAATAACATTTTTATGAAGAAAAATTTATTTTTGAAAACAAACATTAATGCAAAAGTGATTATTTTTAATGACTTTGTCAATCCTTAATTTCTGACTTAGTAAACAACAGTATATTCCTAAAATCTTCTTGTGCATTCAATTTGTTAAAATATGTTGCTTTGGTTGATTTACATGATGAAAACCTAGCTTAATTCAGATATGTACTTAGAAAAGAAAGAGAAATTTAATGGCGTTTTCAGGTAATTGTGAATATTTTTGTTGGATACTATACCAAAATTCAATGTGATATTTTTTTAAAGATTACTTTTCTGTGATATGGAAACTGAAACCGTATTAATGACAATTATATAATCTGTTACATTATAGTCTATTTGTCTATTTTGGACATTAAATTCATCTTTTATTCATATGATTTTTGTAACATTGTATTATTATTACTTGTAAAGTATTAGTTCAGACTGTTCTCTGGCTCTTCTGAAAGTGTATGCATGTCAGCATACAAATCAAAAATAACATTTATCAAGATCACCACCAATTTTTTCAGTATAGTCTTTAATTATCCAGACTCTCATAAGCTCATGGTAGTAGTTTTGATTCCCCAATAGCCAAGTCTGAGCAACCATAGTGTTTCTGTCAGCGATTCTTTCAAGTAAAAAATGATATCTATGTGAAGGAGAGCTAGTTCTGTTGCAACTAAAGCAATCACAATAGTGCTTTTTCTTGAGACACCATGTTATTTTGGCATGATCGAAGTGCTATGTGCAAACTTTCATTATGTTAAACAAAATATTTAAACAAATATTGTGCCCATGTTTACATAAAAAGCCTCCTAATTTATGAGTCCAATATATAACAATTAAATAATTTTTCTCATTTTCTCTTATAAGATGCTTTGCTAAAATAATAATCCTAAGAATATATATTACAAAAGAGGGTGATTTTTCAAGAGAATAATGTAATACAATTTGAAGTTGATACCGTTTTGTTAGTGTTGCCAAGCATAAAAACAGAATTTAAAATACTAGAGGAATGAAATAATTATAATTAAATCTATTTCACTTGTATAATTAAGAATTATTTCAGCCAAGATTTTGAAAGAACATAGTACACAGTAAGATATTTTACTCTCTACAGAAAAAGAATAAATATTGCTACAATGTTTGCTTGTTGAATAGATGTGTAGAGAAAAGAAAAACAAAGTACAGTTGCACATTTGTATCATATAAAATTAGAACATGCATATGAAAAATTGAGTAGTCTAATTTTATAAAATATACATAGTTATATATTTACTTGAGGTATTTTAACAAATAAAGACATTCTTATTTTGGGAATTATAGGATTCATATTTTCCAAGACAGTGTTCAATTTTATACAAAACAAAAGTTTCACACAGACTTGTTAGTAAAAATATGACCCAATGGAGAGATCCAATATGGCTGAATAGGAATAGCTCAGGAGTGCAGTTCCTAGGGAGAACAATGCAAAGGGTTAGTGATCACCATATTCCCAAACAAGTTTTACTGCCCACAGACCAGAAGATTCCCAGGCCAAAAAGCACCATGAGTGTCCAGCATGGCTGTTTCAGCTGGTGCTGCAGGTTTCCACACAAAAACTCACACAAATCTAGGCAGTCCTTTCACTGATGCCTGGAACTCCTGGGAGACAGAGCCACCCATTCAACTGAAAAAGAGGGGGCTGAAACAGGGAGCCTGGTGATCTGGCTTGGCAGGTCCCACTCCTGCAAAGACCAGCAATCGGAAACACTCTGGATTAAGAATTTTGCAGCAAGAGCAGCTGGACCCGGGATGGTCCAGCTTCGTGGGAGGAAGGGTGTCTGCCATTACCAAGGCAGTCTAACACTACCGAGGCAGTCCACCATTACCAAGTCAATTCACAATTAATGAGGCAGTTCACCATTACTGAGTCAGCCCACCATTACAGAGGCAGTTCTGATTGTGCCTCTGTAAACAAAACCACACGTAAGTTTACACAGCAGCTGGGCAGAGCCTGCAGAAGCTCAGCAATGCTTCTGCTGGCAGAACGTGACTAGACTACCTCCTTACTGGGCAGGATATCTCTGAAAATAGGCAGCAGCATGTCAGGAACTTATAAATAGAGTCTCATCTTAGGTCAGAACACCTGGGAAAAGAGGCAGTTATGAGTTCTGCTGCAGCAGACTTAAATGTATCTGCCCAGCAGCTCTGAACAAAACAATGGAGCTCACAGAACAGCACTTGAGCTCCTATGAGGGACAGACTGTCTCCTCAAACAACTCCTTGACCCCTCTATATCCAAAGAGACACCTCATATAAGAGTGCTCAGGCTGACATCTGGCGGATACCCTTCTGGGATGAAGAAAACAGAAGAAGAAACTGGCAGCAACCCTTACTGTTCTGCAGTCCTTGCAGGTGATCCCCAGGCAAGAAGGGTCTGGAGTGGACCTCCAGCAGTCCTGCAACAGAGGGGCCTGTTAGAAGGTAAACTAAGAAATAGAAAAAAATAGCTTCAACATCAATAAAAAGGACATCCACTCAGAGTCCCCATCCGAAAATCAACAACTACAAAGACCACAGGTAGATAAATCCATGAAGATGGAAAGAAACCAGTGCAAAATGGAAGAAAACACCAAAAACCAGAATGCCTCTCCTACTCCAAGGGATCACAACTCACCAGAAAGGGAACAAAGCTGGATGGAGAAAGAGTCTGATGAATTGACAGAAACAGACTTGGGAAGGTGGGTAATAACAAACTTCTCTGAGCTAAAAGAACATGTTCCAACCCAATGAAAAGAAACTAAGAACCTTGAAAAAAGGTTAGATGAAATGCAAACTAGAATAAGCAGCTTACAGAAGAATATAAATGACTTGATGGAGCTGAAAAACACAGCAGGAGAATTTCGTGAAGCATACACAAGTTTCAATAGCTGAATCAAGCAAGCAGAAGAAAGGACATCAGAGACTGAAGATCAACTCAATGAAATAAAACAAGAAGGCAATATTATAGAAAAAAGAAAGAAAATAAATGAACAATGCCTCCAAGAAATATGGAATTATGTGAAAAGACCTAATCTATGTTTGATAGGTGTACCTGAATATGATGGTGAGAATGAATCCAAGCTATAAAACACTCTTCAGGATATTATCCAGGAGAACATCCCCAACCTAGTAAGACAGGCCACCATTCAAGTCCAGGAAATACAAAGAACACCACAAAGACATTCCTCAAGAAGGTCAGCCTCAAGGCACATGATTGTCAGATTCACCAGGGTTGAAATGAAGAAAAATATGCTAAGTGCAGCCAGAGAGGAGGGTTGGGTTATCCACAAAGGGAAGCCCATCAGACTCACAGTGGATCTCTCAGCAGAAACCCTACAAGCCAGAAGTGAGTGGGGGCCAATATTTAACAACCTTAAAGAAAAGAACTCCCAACCTAGAATTCCACAACCAGCCAAACTAAGCTTCATAAGCTAAGGAAAAATAAAATCTTTTACAGATTAGCAATTGCTGAGAGATTTCCTCACCACCAGGCCTGCCTTACAAGATCTCCTGAAAGAAGCACTAAACATGGAAAGGAACGACGAGTACCAGCCACTCCCAAAATGTACCAAACTGTAAAGGCCATTGACACAATAAAGCACTGCATCAACTAATGGGCAAAACAACCAGCTATCATCAAAATGGCAGCATCAAATTCACACATAACAATATTAACTTTAAATATAAATGGGCTAAATGCCTCACTCAAAAGACACAGACTGGCAAACTGGATAAAAAGTCAAGACCCATCAGTGTACTGTGTTCAGGAAATACATCTCATGTGCAAGGACAAACATAGCCTCAAAATAAAGGGATGGAGGAATATTTACCAAGCAAATGGAGAACAAAAAAAACCAGAATTTACATTAGTAGCCTCTGATAAAATGGACTTTAAACCAACAAAGATCAAATGAGACAAAGAAGGGCACACATAATGGTAAAAGGATCAATGTAACAAGAAGAGCTATCAATTCAAAACATATATATACCCAATACAGGAGCACCCAGATACATAAAGCAAGTTCTTAATGACATACAAAGAAACTTAGACTCCCACACAATAATAGTGGAATACTTTAGCACTCCACTGTCAAACATTAGACAGCTGAATGAGATGGAAGATTAATTAACAAGGATAACCAGGACTTGAACTCAGATACGGATCAAGAGGACCTAATAGACATGTGCAGAACTCTCTACTCCAAATCCATGGAATATACATTCTTCTCAGCACCATATCATACTTACTCTAAAATTGACCACATAATTGGAAGTAAATCACTCCTCGGCAAATGCAAAAGAACTGAAATTATAACAACCATCTTCTCAGACCACAGTGCAATCAAATTAGATCCCAGGAGTAAGAAATTAACTCAGAACCACACAACTTCATGGAAACTAAACAACTGGCTCCTGAATGTTGACTGGATAAACAATGAAACGAAGGCAGAAATAAAGATGTTCTTTGAAATCAATGAGAACAAACACACAACATACCAGAATCTCTGGGACACATTTAAAGCAATGTCGAGAGGCAAATACATAGCAATAAATGCCCTCATGAGAAGCAAGGAAAGATCTAATATCAACACCGTATCATCAAAATGGAAAGCGCTAGAGGAGCCAGATCAAAAAAATTCAAAAGCTAGCAGAAGACAAGAAATAACTAAGAACAGAGCAGAACTGAGGGAGGCAGAGACATTAAAAAACCCTTCAAAAAATCAATAAATCTAGGAGCTGGTTTTATGAAAACACCAACAAAACAGATAGATTCCTAGCCAGATTAATAAAAAAGAAAAGGGAGAGGAATAAAACAGATGCAATAAAAAATGATAAAGGGGATATCACCACAGATTCCACAGAAATACAAACTACCATCAGAGGTTAGTACAAACAACTCAGTGAACATAACCAGTGAACCTGGAAGGAATGAATAAATACCTGGACACTTGCACTCTCCCAAGGCTAAACTATAGGAAGAAGTTGAAACCCTGAATAGATCAATAACAAGGGCTGAAGTTGAGGCCACAATTAATAGCGTACCAACCAAAAAAAGTCCAGGTCCAGATGAGTTCACAGCCAAATTCTACCCTAAGTACAAAGAGGAGCTGGTACCACACCTTCTGAAACTCTTACAAACAATACAAAAAGGGGGATTCCTTCCCAAATCATTTTATGAGACCAACATCATCCTGATACCAAAACCCGACAGAGACTCAACAAAAAAAGAAAACTTCAAGCCAATATCCATTGTGAACAGCAATGAAAAAATCTTCAATAAAATACTGGCAAACCAATTGCAGCAGCACATCAAAAAGCCATCCACCCACAATCAAGCAGGCTTCATCCCAGGGATGCAAGGCTGGTTCAACATACAAAGGCTATAAATGTACTCCACTATATAAACAGAATCAAAGACAAAAAACACATGATTATCTCAATAGAGGCATAGAAGGCCTTCAACAATATTCAACAGCATTTTATGCTAAAAACTCTTAATAAACTAGGTATTAATGGAACATTTCTCAATATAATAAAAGCTATGTAAAACAAACCCACAACCAATATCACACTGAATGGGCAAAAACTGGAAGCTTTCCCTTCGAAAACTGGCACTAGACAAGGATGCCCTCTCTCACCACTCCTTTTCAATATAGTATTGTTTAAGTTCTAGCCAGAGCAATCAGGCAAAGAAATAAATGGGTATTCAATTAGGAAAGGTGAAAGTCAAATTGTCTCTATGTGCAGACAACGTGATTGTATATTAAAAGACCCCATCGTCTCAGCTCAAAATCTCTTTAGCTGATAAGCAAATTCAGCAAAGTCTCAGGATACAAAATCAATGTGCAGAAATCACAAGCATTCCTATATGCCAATAACAGGCAAACAGAGAGCAAAATCAAGAGCGAATTCCCAATCACAATTGCTACAAGGAGAATAAAATACCTAGGAATACAGCTAGCAAAGGAGGTAAAGAACCTCTTCAGGAAGAATTACAAACCACTGTTCAAGGAAATAAGAGAAGACAAAAGCAGATGGAAAAACATTGCATGCTCATGGTTAGGAAGAATCAATATTGTGAAAATGGCCATAATGCCCAAAGTAATTTATAGATTCAATGCTATCCCCATCAAGCTACCTATGATCCTCTTCAAAGAAGTGGAAAAAGCAACCTTAAACTTCATATGGAACCAAAATGGAGCCCACATAGCCAAGACAATCCTAAGCAAAACAAACAAAGTTGGAGGGATCAGGCTACCTGACTTCAAATTACACTACAAAGCTACAGTAATCAAAACAGCATGGTACTGGTACCAAAACAGAGATCTAGACCAATGGAACAGAACAGAGGCCTTGGAGGCAACACCACACATCTACAACCATCTGATCTTTGACAAACCTGAAAAAATAAGCAATGGGGAAAGGATTCCCTGTTTAATAAATGGTGTTGAGAAAACTGGCTAGCTATGTGCAGAAAGCAGAAACTGGACTCCTTCCTGACACCTTACACTGAAATTAACTCTAGATGGATTAAAGACTTAAACATAAGACCTAACACCATAAAAACCCTAGAAGAAAACACAGGCAAAACCATTCAGGACATAGGCATAGGCAAGGACATCATGACTAAAACAACAAAAGCAGGCCGGGTGCGGTGGCTCAAGCCTGTAATCCCAGCACTTTGGGAGGCCAAGGCGGGTGGATCACGAGGTCAAGAGATAGAGACAATCCTGGTCAACATGGTGAAACCCCGTCTCTACTAAAAATACAAAACATTAGCTGGGCATGGTGGCGCGTGCCTGTAATCCCAGCTACTGAGGAGGTTGAGGCAGGAGAATTGCCTGAACCCAAGAGGCGGAGGTTGCGGTGAGCCGAGATCATGCCATTGCACTCCAGCCTGGGTAACAAGAGTGAAACTCCGTCTCAAAAAACAAACAAACAAACAAACAAACAACAACAACAACAACAAAAAAAACAAAAGCATTGGTAACAAAAGCCAAAATAGACAAACGGGACCTAATTAAATTCCAGAGCCTCTGTACAGCCAAAGAAACAATCACGAGAGTGAATCAGGAACCAACAGAATGGGAAAAAATTTTTGCAATCTACCCATCTGACAAAGGGCTAATATCCAGAATCTACAAAGAACTAAAACAGATTTATAAGAAAAAAACAAACTCATTCAAAAGTGAGCAAAGGGTACGGACAGACGCTTTTCAAAAGAAGACATATATGAGGCCAAGAAACATACGAAAAAATCCTCATCATTATGAGATATCACCAGCCAGATACAGGTGATGGAGGGTTGGCTGGTCATTAGAGAAATGCAAATCAAAACTACATTGAGATAACATCTCACACCAGTTAGAATGGCGATCATTAAAAAATCTGGAGATAACAGATGCTGGAGAGGATGTGGATAAATAGGAACATTTTTACGGTGTTGGTGGGAGCATAAATTAGTTCATTCATTGTGGAAGACAGTGTGGTGATTCCTCAAGAACCTAGAAATAGAAAATCCATTTGACCTAGCAATCTCATTACTGGGTATATATCCAAAAGATTTTAAATTATTCTATTAATTATATTATAAAGACATATGTACACATATGTTCATTGCAACACTGTTTACTATAGTCAAGACGTGGAACCAACCCAAATGCCCATCGATGATAGACTGGACAAGGAAAATGTGGCACATATACAGCCATAAAAAATGATGAGATTATGTTCTTTGTAGAGACATGGATGGATCTGGAAACCATCATTCTCAGCAAACTGACACAAGAACAGAAAATCAAACACCACATGTTCTCACTCATAGGCAGTGTTGAACAATGAGAACACATGGACACAGGGAGGGGAGTGTCACACACAGGCCTCTGTTGTGGGGGGGCTAGGGAAGGGACAGCAGGGGGTGGGGAGGTTGGGGAGGGATAACATGGGGAGAAATGCCAGATACAGATGATGGAGGGTTGGAGGCAGCAAACTACATTGCCATGTATATACCTATGCAACAATGCTGCATGATCTGCAAGTGTACCCCAGAACCTAAAGTACAATTAAAAAAATATATATATATATATATATGATTCAGTGACATTTTTTATTCTTAAATAAAATTGTTTTTAGAAAAATGAGTGTGTTAAACCAATGACTGTATAAAATGTGTAGCATTTTAATAATGTATTTCCATCATAAATTTTTGTTTTTGTCAAATTCCAATGCTCAAGCTTTAGTGCCATGGTTGTTGTATTTTAAATATTTAAATATGAATTTTGTTCATCTTACTTTAAGTATATACATAAAGTTTTCATAAATGTAAAAGCAAGAGCATAATTTAGTAAGGAGTGAAATGTTCAAATCTTTATTTAATCATTTCAATAGTTATCAAAAAGATTGGAACTTTTTTCAGATACTATGTTATAGGGAGTAATAGATCAATGCTTTTGCTGAAAACTGGAAAAAGTGAGAGAGCTTATTAAATTATATATTTAAAGTCATGAGCAATGTGTGAAAGACCCACTAAAATTTCACAGAGGAAATTTCTATTAAGAGATTAAATGATGACTGATAGGCACTGGTTTTTATTTACCTCATTTTCTGGAATTATTTGCCAATTCTTCCCACGGGCTGAGAACAGAAATTTGGCCAGTAAATAAAATGCTACTGGAGAAAATAAAGATATCCAGCCTATTAGAGGTTTTTAAGCCTAGAGTGACAAAAATACAAGTAGAAGGGTTTCAAATACACAAATGGTTTTTCAACAATACTTTTGTTGATTTCAAAGGCTATGCAGAACACTAAAGAGTCAGGACCAAAGTTCCTATGATGCACAAAATAGATTAAAAGACATAGTATTTCAACATGAAATGAGGAGTCAAAAGTATATAGAATATTTTTAGTTCTCACACAGGAGTTGAGAGCATGTGGTATGTCTATGCATGTAACACACTCATGTGTCCCCAAATATGTAAATTATTATATGTCAATAAAGAGATAAAACTGCATAAAGTTTTTTAAAGCACCTAGCAATTATACTAGAATTAAATCAAATATCTAAAATTATAAACTCATTTTACAAATGATATAAAAATCCAAAGA